CCCGGGTGTGCGCGTCATGGTAGCGACCCATCCTACCACCAGAAAACCACACCACTAAGGGCCATTTTTTTTTTTTTTTTTTTGAGATGGAGTTTCACCCTGTCAGCCCAGGCTGGAGTTCAGTGGGCCAGACTCGGCTCAGCTTGTGACCTCCACCTCCCAGGTTCGAAGCCGATTCTTCTGCCCCTCACCAGCTCCTGATAGGCTGGATTACACGAAGGCGGCCACACACCCGTCTAATTCTTGTATTTTTAGTAAAAGAGACAAGGGTTTCCCCATGTTGGCCAGGGCTGATCTCCAAGCTGCCTGACCTCAAGTGATTCCCACCCACCTCCGGCCCCCCCAAAGTGCTGGATGTACAAGCATGACCACAGTGCCCGGCCAGGGTGCCTATCTCTGTGCTGTGATCGCTGTGGAGAAGATGGCTGTTCCAGGCTTGTTTTTCTGGCTGTCATACCCAAATCGACCAGCAGGAAAAGAACTCTGTCATGACTCACTGTGAATGCTGAACAAAGGCCACTCTGGGCTCAGAATGTCAAGGAGTGAGAAAAACCTGGACGAGCAGGCAGGCGGCAAGTGGCCTCATGCCTGTAATCCCAGCAACCTGGAAGGGCCAGTGGGAGGATCGTTTTGAGTTTCCAGGAGTTTCGGAGAGACCACCCGACACCATAATGAGACCTCGTGTTACAGCAGAAAAACAAAAGTAGATTGCTTGAGCCTGGAGGTCAGGCGTGCAGTTGAGCCGGATCACGGCCAGTTGCACCTCCAAGCTGGGCAATGAGCAAGAGCCCTGTCTCCAAAAGAAAAAAAAAAAAAAGAAAAGAAAAAAAGAACTGGATGAGGCTGTGTGGGGTAAGGCCGCAGACCCATGCAAGGAATTCGCCCAAGTACTTGGGTTTGTATTTGAATCATCCCGCTGCCGCCCTTACTAGCTGTGGCAGGTTGCCCCCTAGGGCAGCGTTCCCTGGGCATAATGTGATTGTAACCAATGAGAAAACACTACAAGCAGTAACTATAAGGCTAACATTTATTGAGGGCAGTTATAGGCCGTGCTAGGTACTTTAATACATGGTTAACTCTTTCAAGTCTCGCCGGATGAAGTCAGATATATTACATACCACTTTAGCAGACCCGCAAGCCATCCAGGGCCGCTCCTTCAACTTCTGCAATTTGGCCATCTGTCAGCCCCCCTCGGCCTGACCTTTGAAGAAGCAAAATCCCCATGCATGCGGCCAGGTCTCCGTCCCAGGCTGATTCATCTTCCTTCTGCTGCATCTCGCAGAGAATTTTAGTCTAATAAAACCCCCCTACCACCGCCACTTCCTAAGAAACTGGATGGGCCGGCTCCCCTGGGCTGGACTGGGTGTGCCCCTTTTATATCCCAGCAGAAACATGCAGAAAGGGAAAAGAGGCAACGAAATGTTCTCTCCCGTTAGTGCAGAACTGGGGGTGCCCCTTTCTATATCCACAGAAGCATGCAGAATAGGGAAAGAGGAAGAAATTTCTCTCCTGTTTAGTCAGATCCATTTTCCCCACCTGGATTTTTAAAACTTTCTAATTTTGAAATGCTCTCTTGAATTTTCAATCTGAAATCTAAAGGCATGTGACAAGGCCGAGGTGATTACTTGGGAGTAAATGCAAGAGTTTCCACTACGTAAGGGAATGGATAGCAAGTGGCTGGGTAAATTTCAAGAAAGACAATGCTCAGAGTGACTACTGTGTCTTCCAGTAAGTCGGAGACTTCCCCACCTTACCCTACCGGGGAAAGGACCCTGCCTTGAGGCCCTCAGGACGACTACCCTTTCTTCACCTCCCCTTCCTGATCACCCCACATCAGACAGCTGCATCTGTAATTGTCTTGCCCAGTCCATATCTCTAAGAAGCCCGTAGGCTGCTCTATTACCATCACAACCCATAGGTAGGGAGAGAAAAGGTGCTTTAGACACAGGGACCCCAGAATGAGTTGCGCAAAAGGCAGGAGGAGAGAGAGGTGGGCTGGAAGAAGGACACCACAGAATCTGGCACGGCAAGGTATTCTTTCACCTGGCGTAGACCTCCAACCACCACTACCATCCCCTAACCCCTTCCAGAACTTTCCTTCACCTTCTCAGCTGACTCTCACACTTCAACTTGTGCTTTTCCTCAGGCACCAGCACCCCATTTCAAACTGCTCTCTTCCTACCGTCTCCTCCCAACAGTAAGTTATAAACACTGTGCTTTCAAATCCATCTCATTTCATCCTCACAGTACCATATGAGGGCTGCCTTACAGGCTGCCATTCGGAAGGGTTGGGGGGACTGGTCCTGCCAGAAAATTTGCGAAGGTCAGGGCATCAAAACTTTTCTTTCTTTCCTGCCTGCCATGCCAAGCTAAACCCCTGCCTCCCCGAGTGCAGGGAAAAAAGCAAGGTATTTGAAGTAAGGAGTCCTGAGTGGTTTTAGGCAAGTCCCTTCTGAGCCTCACATTCCTCACCTGTCAACTGCTATGGTGACGCCTCTACTTTCCACGGCGTAAGAGGTCAAGGAGATCACGGGTGTGCCACACTGAGCTCGGGGACGGACTCTATTTCCAGTCAGTAAAGGGAGGTGTTCTATGCATCACAGGCTTTTGCCCACGCCGCCACAGCGCTGCCGGCCCAGGGCTCTCCAGACAGGGGCGAGTTCCCTGTCATCTGTGTCTCCGCCCTTCCTTCACCAGTCCCACCCAGGCTGGCCTCATCGGCTTTTTCCGCACCCACTCCCCAGTTCTAGAGCCCCGACTCCGACCTGACAAGTGCCCCACCCCGACCCAGATAC